CACTGCAACAACCCGGCCCCACCCCAGATCAATATGAAATAAATCTCTAATTATCGATTGAATTCAGATCTGAAATTTCTGGACCTCGGCATCGAAGAAATGGTGAATCTTCAGGTAGACTGGAGGATCCCTACAGCCCCACCACCACTCTATGGTGGTTGGCTAGTGTAGGTGGCATGGGAAAACGATAAGTCACATGCTTGTGCCGCAAATGATTGGTTTCCGGAAAATGAGTTATTTTATGCAAACTTTAGAGGTGGCTGGCACATGAATTTGCTTTGTAGATTCCTATTTTCAAAATATTGCCCCGGCACACATTTTTCATGAAAAATGATTTTTTTTTTTCAATTTTTGTAGTGTTTGATAGGCAAAATTTTTTTGGGAAAATATTTTTCAACTTTCCAAATTTTCCACCTTTTTGAAAAAATTAAATTCTTGATGTTTGGTGGGTAAATATTTTCCAGGTTTTTTTTTTGTTTTGTTTTTTTTTTTTTTTTTGGCAATTAGAAAAATTTTTAGACAAAATGATAAAAAAAATTTCACATTTATTGACAATTTTCATGCAAAAACAAAGTCAAACAAATGTTATTCGGTATGGTTATTTTTTTTTTCTATTTTTTTTTGACAACTGGAACAATTTCTAGACCCAATGGTAGAAAATATGATCATTTTAATGGATAATTTTCATAAAAAAAGTCAAACGGACACCAAACTTTCAACATTTTTCATGAAAAATTATATTAATAAAACACAATTAATTAAAATTCCCTATAAAATAATTTCTAGACAAATCAATTCCCTATAAAATATTTTATTTCCATCAATTTTTCACATTTGCAATCAAACGGACCATAAGTATCAATAACAGAGAGTGTGAAAAAGAAATTGCAAGCCATAGAGACCTTCATTAATGAAAAAGAGAAAGTAAAACAAACCGAATGTTGAAACCCGCTTCACATTCATTTCCCTAAAAGTAAAAATACCCAATTAAACATCTTGGATGACAAATATATGGATTTTGCAAGGGTTGGCGGTTGTAGTGTGGTGTGTTTTGCTTTGGTGGTGGTTGGTTGCGGCAGTGTTGTGGCCGTGGTGGTTTTCCTTGGGTGGGGGTTGATGAAGAAGAAGAATAATTGAATTTTCTTTTTCTTTTGTTTCCTTTCTTTCATTTTTATTTTGTGTAAGCTTAAGGGCAAATTTTTTGACAATGCCCACAATAGATTTTTTGGACAGAAAAAATGAAAGGTTGGAGATGATTTTGTCAAGAAATACTGTTTGGGGACAAAATTGTAGAAGGTGGTAAAGGTTAGGGACGTCTGCTACAATTCTCGCCAAAACCACATCTCTTGTTTTTTATGAAAAAATAAATTCAAACTACTCTATCCTCTAATGCATTAAGCTTTCAGATGTGGTGATTTGGTTATTGATGTAGTAGCGATATTGAAAGGGATCGAGGTCCGTGTTGCACACAATTTTCTCTCTTCTTTTGGGGTCTCTCTCGTGAAGTTTGTCTTCTCCTTCTCTTGGGTGATTTATGAGTAATTTTTCTAGTGATAAAGGGGTTAATCTTCGATGTATCCAGGCCTCGAGTATTGGGTGGTTTCGGTGGAGTTTTCCTTTCTAAATCTGTAGCTAGACTCCTGTGTTTCGGGAGATCGTTCTCGATCGATGACCAGAAACTTAACCTGTGCGTTCTCTGATGTTCTCTCTCTCTGGACGGCGATTTGCAAGGCGTGGAAGGGTTGTTCTCGAACCTAGCTTTTCAGCCAGTAAAAGGGAAGTAGAACTCTGTCATTCTATAATTTCAGTTTCTATGATTTCTTTATGCTTTGTAGAAATGTTAGTTGTTTTGTGACTTGAGCGTTTTGAACTCTGTAAATTCCCAACAGAACACCTCCTTATATAGTACAAGAATGAAAAGCTATTTCAATTCTCCCTTAATCTGCGTTTACATAAAAATGTTACGATAGTTCTTAGGGCTTTGTAACCACCATCGCATTTGAAAAAATAATAATTAGGGAATTGAAACAAATTAAATTTGTTGTTACAATTGTCATTCACTTCATTTATTTTTTATTTTTTTCCAACATCTATAGACATCAAGCAGAATCCCTCTTGACAATACAGCTTCTACCCACAAGCAACCAAAACGCAAGGCATCTAGCAATACAGTTTTTTACTAACATCACTAGTCAACTATTATAACTTGACAAGTGGTACATGAAATAAATCTCAGCACATGCTGGGGGGTGGGAGCAAGAATTAAATCATTTAATTTGTATCTTGTTTCCGTTGAGGATCTTCAGCAGGGTGGACTCCCGATAAAAATCAAAGATTTGAAGCTCTTCGGTATCTTTCTTAACTCAATCCAAGGATAGTTTTTATGAACATTTATTTTCGAAATATTATTGTGAAGCTAACCAGCAGCCTGTAGCATACTGCACCTGGAGCAGAGAAAATTAAATTATCGATACCTGTTTAGATGCCTAATGGATGCGTGGTAGTTCTTTGAAAATGTTAGTTTTAGTTCTTCAAGTTGTATTATTCATTTCATTTTTAGACTAATTTTTCAGTGTTAGGAGGATATGAAATCGAAGGCTGTGGTTGATTGGTATTGTCACTTGTTTGATCCTCCATCAAGTCTTTGAAATTTCAGGTTTTCAACAGATCGTGAATTTGTAGGTCACCACAGGACCAGTTTGAGTACATCGTCTTGGGACCCTCTTCGTCGTGAAGCATATTTTCTTGCCAAAGACTTTTGGGGCTGTTGCTGCTGTCGGTATAGTTCCTGTGTAATTTATTAATTCCATTGTTTACATTTTCCAAACGAGAATTGCTACACGTATAGGGGATTTTGTGAAGGTTTATACAGGGGACACTTTTCAATTTTCCACCAATCATGCTACGAGTACAGAAAAATTTGATAGAAAATTTTGAGAGAACACATGGTGGGAATTGATTGTAAGATGGAAAGAGAAAAAGGCAAAAAGTCCAATCATATGCGCCCATGTCAGCTTCGGTAGGAATTCTGTCAAGAAGTCCCTGTACTCGTGGCTTTTTCCATTTTCCAATGACAATTGGCAAAAAGAAAAATGCCCATCAGGTACTGCGCTGTACACTGCCCGGCAAAAAATCCCCTGGATTAACTCTTTCCATATTTGTGCTTGGCAATTCTATGTTAGAACTGAAGACTTTTGAAGAATAAAACAATTTCACATGCTGATTATGTAAATTTAATTAGGGATTATCTTGCATTTTAGTAATCATAAATTTTCATGATTAAATTATTTGTTTGTTTTTCATTGTTTTCTCTTCAACTTATTTATCCTTCGTATTTTTCGTGTCGACTTATCACAATTTACATGGATGTAGAAACTATTGTTAAAAGAAATAATTTTGTGACTCA